GACTTGGAGCCATGCACGCCGGTGGATGTCTCACGGTCGGCGCATTTGAAGTGCCCAAGTTGCGGTTGGCTCCCAACTCGAGAGCAAGCTTGTGAAAGAGCTCAGGAGGCACGGGTTCACTGGCGTTACTGCGTCGGGATCACACCCCCTGGGAAGACGAAGGAAGCTCAAGGAGAAGCAAACCGACAGTTTGCTATACCTGGGCGAAACCGCGCAGTACGGCAGAGAGCTTGGTTACGCTACTGCGAATGGTATGACAAGCTCGACCCTGACTTCAAGCCAAACGTCTGCCACGTTTTGGAAGCGAGTGCGACCACCAGGCAGACGAAGAGGCAAACTGATACTTGTTATTCGTGCACGAGATGTGGAATACAAAGAACGACTGCCAAGTTGAAGCTTGAACCGTGTACAAAGCGGCTGGACCGTACCATGAAGGCGAATGAAGTGAAGGAACGACTTCATGGCAAAGATGTTTGGGCGAAACGATATGAGAAGACGTTGGCCAATCATCGGAAGTGGTCCGCGAAGCCAGAGAACAAAGAGTACCTGAAGAAGTGGCAGCAGGACTACTTCAACAGGCCTGGGCAGCGTACTCTAGCGGCCTACAGGCGCAAGATTGCAGAGCGAAAGAAGGCGGCCATGAAGCGGGAGGTGACACGTGCCAGAGGCTGGGCGCGCAGGCGACCAGCAGCAGTGCTACGCCGACCTGCTGCCGCTGCTGAGTGACAAATCCCAAGGGGGCTTACCGAGGCCCTTGGTGGGCCCCAGACTGCCAGCACGAGTTGCAGCAGCACCACGTACCTCCACGACTTGTCGAAGTTATGCGGAGTGAATGGAAGGTTCTATCATTTTCTCGATACCAGTATGTTGAGATCGAGTGAGGGTTTCCCCTGTCACGGATGGGCGCTTGCGCCCCACTGGCCTCCTGTGGAGAAGGGAGGCTGGGCAGTGGCAGGAGAGGCCTCACGTACCAAAGCAAGTGGTGGCAGCACTACGTATTCCCATGAGGGCCAGCAGAAGTACGCTGAGCTCCAAGGTGGGCCTCATCAAGTTTCTGTGGAAAGTTTCACGAGTATATGTGATCTTCTCCCCTGCCACGGATGGGCCGTTGTGCCTAACTGGCCTTTCGTTGAAGACGAAGGCTGGGCAGTGGCGGGGGAGGCTTCACGCAGCAGCTACACCAAGTACCTCCACGAGTACCTGAAGTTACCTGAGGTGCACGGAGGGTTTCACCAAGTTTCTGTGGAAAGTTTCACGTATTCAAGTGAGGATCCCCCTTGCCACGGATGGGCGCACGCGCCTCACCGGCCTTCTGGATACGAAGGCTGGGCAGTGGCAGGGGGGACCTCACGTGCAGATCCTGTAGAATGTTTCACTCCAGGCCATGATCCTCTTCGAGGCGGTGGAGATGAACCCCAAGTGGCTGAGGGGTCAGAGGATGAGGAGACCATGGTATCCACCTCGACACGAGTCCTCACAATCAATGTAACATCTTTAACCAAAGCTCGACTCCAGACGATCCTCGAAGACAGCATGGCAGATGATGATGTCAATATTATTGCGCTTCAGGAGATACGTCAACAGTCTACCCACCCACGTTGGATTATCAATATTGCAAAGAAAGCTGGGTTTTCGTGTGCTTGCTCGATACCACCACCTAGTGGAGCTCGGGTTGCCGTGAGACAGGGTGGGACAGCTATCCTGTGGCGACCACGTGTTGGGCGAGCTACAGTCATACGCGACGACACCCTCTCCCATCGCATGGTGGGCATACGCACGGCGGTGGCGACCTACCTTTCGGTCTATGCGCCGCAGGAGTTCAGCATGCAGTGGTTCTCTCATTTCCTGCAGTACGTCCAGTGCCTAGGCATTGACGGCCACCCCATCTTCATCTTCGGGGATCTCAATTGGAGGAATGCGTACCAGCACTTGCTGGGACCAGGCTTCCAGATGGCACAGCAGACTGTGCCAACAACAGCAGTTGCGACGATGCCGACGAGAGCGATCTTTTTTGGTAGTCTCGCAGCTCAGCCTCCGCAGTGCGAAGGTATGAAATTACTCCCTGGCATCCCCCACCATGGGCTTGTCAGATATCGTATTCAAGTTCCCCTGTGGACCAGGGCCATGGTAAGACTCCACCATACAGCTGATTATGTCCTCCAGCGAGTGCCGCCTGAGGAAGAATGTCAGCAGCTTCAAGATGAACTCGAACAGCGCGACCAGCACGTGCAGATGGGCCCTCCCTCTCTGTATGAAGCTTGGCAGCGATGGCATAGACGTGCAGAGCTTGGGCTACACATTGCTGTGGAGCGTGACCTCGTCATCATGAACAGGCAGGCCGAAAGGCCAAAGGGATCGGCGCCTACCACGCGCCCAGTTGGGACTGGATCAGTGCACCGACCAGAGCAGACGATTGCGTTGAGGAGGCTGCTGCGGCTTCATCGACGGTATTCAAACTACATACGTGCGGGTGGTGAGCACACACCTGATGAGGTATTGAGTGGCAAGCACCTGCAGCAGTTTGGCCAGGCGGGCATGGACGGTATCTTGTGTCCGAAGGATGGCCTCCCAACGTACGCTGACGCTCTCGAGATTGTCTCCACCGCCATCGCGAAGGAGAACAAAGTCATGCAGCAGCAAAAGTCCAAGGAGTGGAAGAAGAGGTTCGCGACATGGTCGAGGGATCTCTACAAGCTGACGACGCCGATCTTTAGGCAGTCAGCACCAGCACCGCCCTTCGGGGCAAAATAAATGCGAGATGATTGGCAACGACAGTGGTGTCCAGGTGGTCCTCCTGATCGTGCTCACCAACATGTACGTGCTTGGAAAGGATATGCTGACAATGTGGAGTTTCCAAAATCAGACAAGCCAGTGGATTGGTTGCCTTCAGTTGAGACACTGGATCACATCATTGCACATGCAAAAGGAGCTGCCGGCCTTGACGGGTGGGGAGCACATGAGTTGCGAGCTGTACGAAAGCTGTTTCCTGAGCTGATCCTGGAGCTACATGAGTTGTGGTGCCAAACATCGCTCTGGGCTGTCGAACGTCAGGGCCATCTTCCACAGAATTTCAGTGATATGGTGTTTGGTTGGAGGGTGGTCGGTATCCCAAAATGCGAGACTGATCTTCGGCCGATTTCAGTTGGATCACTACTCTTGAGATGTTGGATGTCTGCATTGGCGACTTCTTTACCAACTCCCACGTCCAACCAATGGGCGTGCAAGCGGGGAATCTCATGTGTCAAAGCCATTGCCAAGTGGCTTGCTGAGGTTTCAAACTCTGAGGCTGGGGCTGAGATGGATCTGCCCCGTGCTTATGATAATATCGATCATGAGATCGGAGTGGAGGCCCTTCTTCGAGAGGAAGTTCCGCTCAGTGCCGTCTTCACCGCCCTCGCGGCCTGGCGAGGCCCACGACATTTGCGCGTCGCAGGCGAGATGACGAGCCCAATTTATGTTGAGCGTGGATTGCCGCAGGGGGATGCAGTTGCTCCTGCGGGTATGTGCGCCTGTCTTGTACCATGGCAGCCCAGTGGTGGAATGGCCTACATGGGCGATAGAAGCTTGACAAATGCTACGAGCGCCATCGTCGATGAGGAGCTGTTTTTCACGACAAAGTTTGATCAAGATGTGGGGTTCGCTGAGAACCAGAACAAACGTCAACGTTGGAGCCGAGATGATGATCCACCACGTGTCGTTGAACATTTGGGGTTGAAGTGTCGTCCAGCTGATCCAGAGTACCCGATCCTGCCAAGGAAGGGATGGCAAAAAGTTTACCAGGCCATCGAGACGCTGAAGTCCATCCCAGGTGGTTCAGATGTTCGTGAGCGCCCGGCTGTCTCTTACATACGACCGTTATGGTATTGGGCGGCGCCTGTGGTTGCACCGGTTCCTGATGACGTACCTCGGCTTCTGCATAGGGCTATTATCAGGACGTCTACGAAGTGGTGGTGTCATGGCCGATGGTGGGCCCAAAGAATACACCTGCATCCCAGATACGGTGCAGCGTTATATGCTTTCCAAGTGATGGATGAGTCCCTGGAGTGGTCGGAGTTTCTGGAGCACTCGCTGAGTGTGCATGCTGCTATCCTCGGCCTCACCTTCATCAGATTTTCTGAGCAGCAGGGAGTGTTACTTGAGTGTGACCCTCGTGATGATCATCGTGTCCTGGATGCAGTGCGAAGCTTGTGTGCTCCTCAGACGACAAGATTCTGGACTCGCAGGAATCAGGACAAACGCTATCAGCGACGAGCTGATCACGCCCTACGGCAGGTTGCCCGTTTGAGGTGTCTCCAGCAAGTCAATGCAAAAGAAGAGATGCGGAAGAAATCGAGTCCGTTGATATTGAAGTTCCTTCACATCCGTACTATTCAAAGTGGGCCAGAGGCCTAGATGATGCCAAGAAGAAGTTGCTCTGCATATTTCTCTCGGGTGCAGTATCATCAGAAACGAGACGCCAGTCGGGGAATCCGTGTCCGCACTGCGACCACCCGTGGCCTTCTTTCAGACATATCTGGGCTGAGTGCCCATATCATCAAGCAGCTCGTGAGTTCATTGCCACAACGCATAGTGTCCAAGCAATTTTTTTGACAAGTGCACCAAGGGTTACGTCGAAGACTGGCTGGATTGTCCGTGACCAGGCTCCGACACTTCAAATGCGAGCAAGGATGATGAGAGCAGCTTGTGAGTTGGGACTTCATATTATTGCTGATGATCGTGCACAGCGACTACGCCAGGCTGGTCCAGCTGGTGGAGATTAGTCTTATTGCAATGAAGCTATTCCTTGGTTAGTTTGCTTCATTCACCATCATCATCGCGTTCTCAACATCATCACTGCAGCATTCGTAGAGGCCGCGTCGCGCAAATCGCAGGATGCAGAGGAGGCTGCGTTGCACAACATCACTCAGAGAACCAGATGGATCGATGCGATCCAGAACATTGTTGCAAAGTTCGACCATGACAATGACAATACTCTCAACTGGGTAGAGTTCTCGCAGATCATGAACGACTGGGAAACCCGCGCGTCCCTCGAGGACATGGGCATCGATATGACTTTCCAGCACGCCTCATTGTTGTTCAAGTTGTTCGACTGGAACCAGGATGGACACATCGACGTCGACGAATTTGCCCAGGGCGTGCACCATCTCAAAGGGGCGGCCCGCAGCCTGGACATGTACCGCCAGTTCGTGGAGCTGTCGAGACAGATTTCTAGCCTCCAGCGCATGGTGGAGCAACTCTCGGCAACCTCTGGTGCAGGCCAGCCACGTAATTCCCGGACCTTTGGCTCAGATCGAAGGTCGTCGCTCCCAGAAACGCCGGCCTCAGAAGCTTGCGATAGCTGCTAGTTTGTTTTCTCTCTCGAAGCGTTTCTCCCCTTGTTCCCCCTCCTGGTTGGCAACGCCACTCCTTCGCAAATGGATTGCGAAGGCCGCCTTACGGCCGGTGCCGCCGACCCCGAAGACGACGAAGATGAAAATGAGGGTGAGACGAGGACGAACAACCCTTCACACACGCCGACACAGGGTCGGCGGATTTTGTGCTCTCCGAGTCCTCCAGCGAACAGCTGCGCCAGTTCTGGTCGGACCGGGTAGGTTTTGTTTGACGTGCATTTGATGCATCAAAGTAGCTATTCGAGAGCGTCCGTCTGTCCTGCCCAACATTCAGCTTTTTGCGCACTGGCGTGGTTGCCAGTTTTTCGATGACATCCTGCTGTAGATGTCAGAGTAGATGTCAGAAGCCACTTGATCCCAATCCGTCCGTGCTGAGTGTACCGAAGCATTTAAATGTATCGTTCCTTCCCTCCCTCCTCCTCCTCTTCATCCGCCTCATTTCGTTCGTTTCACCTGTAACCTCTCTCTCCTGCATGGAATGTTCGGCGTCGTAGTAATCACGTGGATGCTCCGTCGAGATGGGCGCGGAAATCTGCAGTCCAGTTCCAATGTTTAGGCGCGGAGCGTCCTAGCATTCATATTTTTGCGATTGCTTCATGCTGCAGTTTGCCTGCCTGCGTTGAGAACCCGGGCGTTGCACCGGGAAGCAGGAAAAATAATATTAAAAAACAAAAAAAAATGGCTCAAGCGGGCCCCGCGTCGCCGAAAGACCGCTCCAGGACGCCCAAGATAGGCCGAAGACGGCCCGAGAGGCCCCCCAAGGCACTCCACGACGCTTCAAGACGCCTCTCCAGAGCGCTTCAAGAGGCCGAAATCGTCAATGTTACAAAGGTGTTCTAACGATTTTGGCCTCCAGCCTTTTCGGCTGTCCGATGCTCCAAGACGGCTTAGTAGGCCCCCAAGACGGCCCAAGAGGGCCCCAAGACGGCCCCAGAGGCGCCCAAGAGAGCCGCCCAAGACGGCTCGAGAGGGCCCCAAGATGGCTCCAAGAGAGGTCCAAAAAGGGAAACACGAACCGAAAGTCCGAGCTTTCTACCCCGAGAGGTTCTCGGGAAGTCCCAAGAGGCCCCCACTCGGATCCAAGAGGCCCCCAAGAAGCCCCAAAAAGGGCCGACGAGGTTCCAAGAGATCTCCCTAGGTGGCCCCAAGAGGCACAACTCATTGTTTTACGTTTGGGCTTTGACGGGTTTTTAATTTTTCGGCCGTTTGGCATCCCAATGCTCCAAGACGGTCCAAGAGGCTTCCAATGCCGCTCCAATATAGAGGAAGAGGCCTTCAAGAGGGCCCCAAGACGGCCCACGAGGGCCCCAAGACGGTGCTTGAGGCGCCCAAGACGGCCCGAGAGGGCCCCAAGAGCCCCAAGAGAGGCCTAAGAAGGGGAACGCGACCCAACAGCAGAGCGATCCCCCCAAAAGGCCCACAGGAGGCCGCAAGTGGCCCCCAAGTGGTCCGACGAGGACCCCAAAAGTTTCCCGAGGGCCCAGAAGGCACCCAGGAGACGTCCAAGAGGCCTTACAATAGCCCAACAGTGCCCTCGATGCATCCAAACTGCTTCCAGGAGGCCTCTGGGAGGCTTCCGGATTGCCTCAATGGGGCCCCAGGTGGCCTCAAAGTCGGGCCTCCACGCAGCCACGACGGCCAATGACGGCTGCAGATTGCAGAACCGATGCCCCCAACCCCCAAGGGACCCCAAGACGCGCCCCCAAGAAGCACCCAAGAGGTGCCTCCAACAGCTAGTTGACGAAGCATGTGGAACACCCCAGAAGCTCCTCAGATGCTGTCACGCGCGTGTGCTTGATAGCGTTGTCCAAGATCGTCCAGCGCCCCCCCGGCCTGGGCTAGAACCCGAGCGCGCGCGAAGCGCGCGCGATGGTTTTAGAATGTATATATGGGTATAGTCCATTCGAGATCCCCCCTATTTTCTTAGTGTCCACGGTTTCGCGCGGTTCCCCGAAGAACCCGTTCGTTTCAAGTTCCATGAATTTTGAGGGGGCAGTTTCCGTCTGTAAGAAAACACCCTGTACTCAACAGCTTCCGTCTCCAAGACAACACCTAGTACTCAACAGGCTCCGGCTGCAAGAGAAAACCCGTCAGGGGTTCATTGAAATCCCGATCCGCAGGCCCGCCGCCCGCCCGCCCGCCCGCCCGCCGCCCGCCCGCCGTCCGCGTAGCACGCACCACCCTGTACTCAACAGCTTCAGTCTCCAAGACAACACCCTGTAGTCAACAGCCCCAGTCTTCAAGGCGACACCCAGTACTCAACAAGCTCCCGCTGCAAGAGAGCACCCTTAAGGAATTCATTCAAATCCCGACCCGCCCGCCCGCACCCGCCCGCCCGCCGCCCGCCCGCCCGCCCGCCCGTCTTCCGCGTAGCACGCGCCACCCTGCACTCAACAGCTTCCGCTTCCAAGACAACGCATAGCATTCAACAGCCCCCCTCCCCAAGACAACACCCAACAGCCTCCCGCTGCAAGAGAGAATCCTTAGGAAGTCGATTCAAATCCCGACCCGCCCGCCGCCCGCCCGCCCTCCCGCCTCTCCGTTCATCACTTCATCATCTTCCTCTCCGTCCGCCTCACCCACCCCATCCGTGCACAGTAAGATAAGACCCTCGTCTTGGGACAACACATCGGGGGATCGCGAATGGACTATACCGATAAATGTGTATAGATACATTAAACAAGGGCTGGCCCGTTTGCCTCAGGAACTTTTTTTTCTCAGGGAAACAAAACATGACATACAGTGGAAACTCATGCCAAGAAACACCCTGCCTGCCTCCAGGGTGCCCTGGGGTTCTTTGGTTCCGATGGTCTTGCTATGAAGAGCGTGGCGTTCCCACACCAAAAACCAATGGACGTCCTGGGGTCTCAGGGTTGGGTTTCTTGTGGAAGGTTTCTTGTCGTCGATCTCCGATTGTAGACAGAAAGACTCTGCGGTCCGCGCAGATTCGTCAGATCGGCACTGCGGCCCCCTCTCGGCGCCTCCGGCGCCGCCCCTGGCGCGCGGGTCCAGCGCCGATCCATGAAATCCGCGCGGACCTCCGAGTTTTCATGTCTACCTTACTGTTTGTTCCCTTGCGCCCCTCGTGGCGATCATCGTCGGCGTCGTGGAGAGTCGAAGGTCAAGGCTTTGGAAGGCGTTCGCCCTCGCTGGGCCTCCTGGGGTCCCCTCGTCGCCACGGCTGGATCCACCTGGGAATCCTGGCCAAGCTGCGCGCCGGCACGGTACCGGGCGGTCGGCCGCCGTCGGCGTCGTCGTCGCCGTCGCCGTCGTCGTTGTCGCGGTACGTGCAGCGCAGGGGGCGGCGGACCGTCTCCCCATCCCACCATCACAGGGGGGATGCGAAGTCCCTGGAGGCGGGACGGGGTGGGCAGGGACTGGCATCATGAGCCGGCCCACAAGTCAGAGAAGCATCATAGCTTCCACCATCAAAGAGCCAGACTGATCCACTCACGGATCCAAAATATATGATTTCCCTCGTTGGCGTCAACGTCATGCGAAGCAGCATGCTCTCCCCTCGCGTGGTGAAGAAAACACGACGGGAGGCTTTTCCCAATTTTCGGCCCAAGGGGGCCGTTGCAGGGCCCCGGGGCCGTCCAAGAACGACTCAGGACGAAGAAACGGTCCCGGGGAAGGGGTCCAGACCTTTGGGGGTCGACGCTGTGGAAAAAAACAAAACAGAAAAACAAGAAAACAACAACAACAACAACAACAACAACAACAACAACAACAACAACAACAACAGCAACAGCAACAGCAACAACAGCAACAACAACAACAACAACACACAACAACACACAACAACACACAACAACACACAACACACAACACACAACACACAACAACAACACACAACAACAACCAACAACCAACAACCAACAACCACAACAACAACAAAATGACGTCGGAGGCCTGGGTCACCGTCATGCCGTGCGCCCCAGACCCGCCCGGCCGCGCAGGGCTTGCGTGGTGGTCGCCGTCCATCATAGTATCCGTGGCCCTTCGCAGCGCCGAGCTCCGGTCCCCGCGGGTGGCCGCACCGTTTCGGTGAGCGGTGGTCGAGAGGAGAAGCACGATGACCATTACAGTGGAGACCGATGCCAAGAAACACCCTGCCTGCCTCCAGGGTGCCCTGGGATTCGTGGGTTTCGATGGTTCTATGATAAAAAGCGCGACGTTCCCACGCCCAAAAACGATGGATGTCCTGGGGTCTCCAGGTTGGGTTCCTTGTGTAAGGTTTCTTGTGGATTGGCCTCCACTGTACCGAGAGTCCGCTGGATCTTCTCAACGCCCATCATGGTCACAGTCGATGCCAGCCGTCGCCGAGTCGCGAGGATGATCCACGAATCGACGAGGACCCAGATGGACAACGACCAAGATCGGCACCGACGCCTCCGCGTTCAGCTCAGGAGGGGAAATAACCAGGCACATACATGAACAAACGCTGGTTCGCATGGCAAGATCGGAAGTATAGTATTGGAATACGTGGGAAGTTCCGGGGAAGATGAGAATCCAGAAAACATGGGGGGGGCTAGGGAATGTGCGTGCGTGAGTGTATCTGTCTGTGCCTCCCCGAGCGCCTGTGTCAGTCCCGGTCGTGGTCCTCGCTGTCTTTCCCTCCAGCAGCGGGGCCTTGAGGTCGTCGTTTTCTTATTCGTTGCTTTGCCGATCGGCGCGGGCCCTCGCCCTCCCCCCCCAATGGACTAGATCTTGGCTATTTTGGGGCGCCTGCTTCAAGCAGGGGGAGTCTCCCCCAGAGGACGCACAGCTGCAAACACACAGTCGCACGAAGCAGAGGTCCGGAGCCAGACCCCCCCCTCTCCCCCCAGGGCTCATTTCGATTCCTCCGATTCGACTCGATACGATTTCGATATCTTCCGATTCCGATTCGATTCGACTGCGGATTCCGATGTTGCCTCCGATTTCTCAGCGGAGGCCTCCTCGGCTGCCGATTT